CTTGCAGTGTGTGACTTCTGAATTCTCTGCTAGCTTTATTAAAGTTCTTATTTTTATTTTAAATTCTGGGTTCCTAGGGTGATGGTCACATCTGGGTCAGTAGAGTTTAAGGGCCACCTAATGTTTCTTCAGAACATTTACTTAATGCTTTGCATTCTTTTACAAAGGTATCTGTGTGACAAGGCATACCTTCAAACTTAAGATAGTTTACATAACAGCCTTAGTTTTCACTTTCTGATTGCACAAAACCCCAAGGTCAGTCAGAAGTGAGAGACTAGTGCTTTCTTTTTTCCCCATGCCTTTTTAAAAACATTATTTATTTATTTATTAGATAGAATATTTGGAATTATTCTTCTTTTTAAATTAATATATAATGTATTATTTGCTTCAGGGCTACAGGTCTGTGAATCATCTGTCTTACACTGTTCACAGCACTCACCATGGCACATACCCTCCCCAGTGTCCATAACCCAGCCACCCTATCCCTTCCCCAACACTTTTAATTTAAATTTAATTTAATTAAAATATAGTGTATTATTAGTTTCAGAGGTATAATTTAGTGATTCATCAGTTGTTTGTAACACTCAGTGTCATTACATCAAATTACATCAAATACATTACACCTTCCTTAATGCCCATCACCCACTTACCCACCCATCCCCCCACACACCTTCCTTCCAGCAACCCTCAGTTAAGAGTCTCTTATGGTTTGTCTCCCCTTATGATTTTGTGTTATTTTATTTTTTCCCTTCCCCAGTGTTCATCTGTTTTGTTTCTTAAATTGCACATATGAGTGAAATCATGAGGTATTTGTCTTTCTTTGACTGACTTAATTCACTTAGCATAATACTCTCTATTTGCATCCATGTCATTGTAAATGGCAAGATTCCATTCCTTTTGATGGCTGATTGATATTCCATCATATGTATAGGCCACATCTTCTTTATCCATTCACCTGCGGATGGACATCTGGGCTCTTTCCATATTTTGGCTGTTGTGGACGTCGCTGCTATAAGCATTGAGGTGCATCGCCATGACTTTTTTGAGTGAGGCATATCCTTGTGCATCCTTAGACTTAGAGGAATGTTTCAGAGGTTTTCAAAATTTGTTATGGTCCTTTGGTTCTCCAGTATTTCCTTTTAAATTGCTGGACAAATTCTTGTTGATCCCACTTAAAATCATAGGCCTAGACAGCTGGTGATGTGAGAGTAGTTTGCTATTGTATTGGTAACGCCCTAGAGTAGGCTTCCCTTTCCCTCACAAGTTCTCAGTCAAATCAAATAGCCACCACATTTAGAAAGTAAAAAGTGAGGGGACTACGAGTTAGAAAAAAGTATTGGTTGTGTTCTAGGAGAGATGATGAAGCTTTTAACGGAGCTCCCAAAAATAGATCTCTCCATTGTCTTCGGTGTTCTCTCCTTTTGGCTGCTGCACCACTGGGCTCCAAGTTAAACCTTCCCAGATTCCCTTCTCCCCAGTCTTACTGAGGTTTAGTAAGTTCTCTTGGATAGACTATATTCAATTTGTTCTGTGGTTTTGGGTAATTGCCAGAGCTTTGAAATAGGTGGTTTTCATTGTTCTGTGTGTATTTTTGTTGTTTTAAAAGAAGAGCAAGTTCCCCAAGGTCCTTACTCCTCCATCAGGAAGTCAATTCCCAGGAGCTTCACTGCTAAGCACAACATGCTACTAAAGCTTTTGTTCACCTACATCAGCTGAGCTTTTTCAGGTGTCTTTCAGGGGTACTTCAGTTCTTTCATGCCTACATTCTTCTTCTTTTTTTTAAAGGTTTTATTTATTTATTAGAGAGAGAGAAAGAGAGAGAGAAATAGCAAGAGAGGGCATGAGCAGGTGGAAGGGGCAGAAGGAAATAGAGAAGCAGGCTCTCTGATGAGTAGTCAGTCCAATGCTGGGCTCCATCCCAGGACCCTGAGATCATGACCTGAATCAAAGGCAGATGCTTAACTGACTGAACCTTCGAGGCTCCCCTTGCTAATTTTCTTTTTAGTCTATACTTCAGTATAGACTTTGGTTGTCCTGAAATGGACTTGCACACTCTCTAGTGTTCTGAAAGGCTCTGCTCATTCTCTACTTTATCCTAATGTAGGATCAAAAGTGAATTTTGTCACTGTGTATCCATAAAACCTTCAGCAACAGTCCTAATCTCTCTATGCATTAGTTACCGATCTGTGATCATAAGAGAACATCTAATTTGTGCTGTTGTTAAAATTAAATTGAATAACTTAACAACCAGAGACAAATAACTCAGTTTAGAAATGGGCAAAATAGAGAAGTCAGTTGGGGGAAATCAGAGGGGGAGATGAACCATGAGAGACTGTGGACTCTGAGAAACAAACTGAGGGTTTTGGAGGGGAAGGGGTGGGGGGATGGGCGAGCCTGGTGCTGGGTATTAAAGAGGGCACCTATTGCATGGAGCACTGGGTGTGATGCATAAACAATAAATATTGGAACACTGAAAAAGATAAAATAAAATTTAGATTAAAAAAAGAGGGGGGATGCAAGATGGCAGAGAAGTAGGAGGCGCTGTTTCAACCAGTCCCCTAAATTGAGTGGATTATCTACCAAAGAACTCTGATCACCCATGAAATAAGCCTGAGATTAGAATTATACACTTCTGGATCTCTACAGGGGCAGAAGACACCAGTGGACAGGTAAGGCAGAGTGGGAACATTGGACTGATATCAGAAGATAAACGAAAGGGGGAGAGAGCCACTAGAATCGACCCATTGGAAAGTAATACACCCCAATAGGAGAGTGCCCTGTGATTGGAGACCAGCATTAACTTGGAGTCTGGTTGAAAGCACTCAAAAAGAGCAAAAGATCTTAAGGGGAAATTGGTGGAATCCGGCGGTTAGGGACAGGGGCTTAAGCCCATGGACCCAGGATGGCCACTGCTGGTGCTGAGCCAGAGAGAGTGCAGTGAAGAAGTCAGGCATTGGTCCCTGAGCTGCAGGCTCATGTGAGAATGTCTGGGTGGCGGTGCGCTTGAGAGAGTCTGGTGTGGACACCAGCCAGCGCTCTCTAGAATCACAGCCTTTTGCACTCTGCACACGCACTGCGTGAACAGGGTCTGAGTTGCGTTCCACACCCTCCCCTGAGAGAGGTCCGTGCAGGCACTAGCCAGTGCTCTCTAGGACTGGCAAGAGTCTGAACACTCCCAGCCAGGGCCAGCAGAAAATCTCAGTGTGCTCTCTCTGGTTGGGACCTCTCTGGCTGTCTGGACTTGCCCAGACAGCAGCGGCACAGGTAGCCACTGGAAGCCAGATCCCTGGACTAGTACTTCTCGTGGTTTTGGTAACACTGGGGTAGAAGCGGGAGCTCCTGCAACCCCTGACACTGTGACTGGGGACGTGCTCTGCTGGCAGCAGAGGGGGAGTTTATGTGCTCTGGAGCACCCAGAGGGGAACAGATTGAGGCTTCTCTCTGAGACGGAGGTCTGGGTTCAGTTTGCTTTCCTCTAAACCTCCAAAGAACTGCCAAAAGCTGCCAAAGGGAGAAAAAAAAATGGACAAAATAAGGGTGGTTGTCTGGCTCAGTTGTTGGAGCATGTGATATTGGGTTGTGAGATCGAGCCTGTGGGGAGTAGCAATTAAAGAAATAAAAAACTGGAAAAATGGACAAAACATTTTAATAGACACATTTCTAAAGAAGATGTGTAATTGACCAATTAGCACATGAAAAGATGTTCAACAACCTCGGTCATTAGGAAAACGCAAGTCAAAAACCACAATTAAGATATTAATGTATACCCATTAGTGGAAATGGTTAAGACAGACAAAGTGCTTGCAAGGATGTGGAAAATTTGGAACACTCACACATTGCTGGTTGGAATGTAAAATGGTGCAACCACTTGGGAACATAGTTTGACAATTTCTCACAGGTTTAATATACAGCTACCACATGCTAGGCATATACCCAAGACAAATGGAAACATGTTCCCACAAAAACTTGTACATGAATGCTCATAACAGCATTATTCAAAATTGGAAACAACTGGAATGTCCATCAACTGAAGAATGGATGAACAAAATGTGACATATCCATCCAGCAGAATATGACTAAGCTATGAAAAAGAGTAAGGAATATTACTCATCCATAAAAACATGTTGCACTGTGAACGAACTTTGTGAGCTTGATACTAACTGAAAGAATCCAGTCATGAAAGACCACATACTGCACAATACCACACATATAAAATGTTCAGAACAGGCAAATCCATCAAGTGAGACAGCAGAGTAATGGTGCTCTGGGTGGGATGGGGAGTGGAGTGTGTGGAGGTGAGAAAATGTGACTGCTGATGTGAGTGAAGTTTCTCTTTGAGGAGTTGAAAATGTCCTAAAGTTAGATGTTGGTACTGGTTGCACAACTCTGTGAATATTCTAAAGATCACTGAGCTGTATAGTATAAATGGGTGAACTTTATGGTATGTAAAATATAACTCAATAAAACCATGAAAACTTTCAATACTAAGTTGGTAGGTTTGGCAGTCGATGGAAATCAATTCAAATGAACAGTGCAAGAAAGGCTCCTTAAAGCATGTTAGGTTCATAGGACTCTCAAAATCTGCTAACACATTTGTAGTCTTCTTTGCTTCAACACTGCTTATCTCAGTAACATCATTCAATGTCAGTATCTTAGATGAAAATATAGTTTCCTTAGGAAATCTTCCTTAATGATCCTAATCCCTCAGACTCCAAACTAAGCATGACATCCAATGATACATTCTCACAGTCTCATACTTTTGTTTTATTGTTACAGTATGTCTAATTTTGTGTCTCATGCTCCATGTGAGATTTGTGGGTTTTACAACCATGTTTACTTTCTTTACCACTGTATCTTCAGAGTCAATGACAGAACCTGTCATGAAAGAGTCACTCAACATTTGTTGATGAATGAATGAATGAATGAATGAATTTATGTAGTAGTTCTATATTCCTAAGGACTAATGCATTTTTTTTTTTTTACATCTCTCTCTTGCTCAGCTGCTGGCTCCACACAGGAAAGAGATTTATATGGAGCTTCCTTGGACCAGTTTGTGCCATATTCTCTGTGAGTGATGACATCACAGCATCCTTAATGCTTAACCGGGGGTCATTAGAAAAGCAGAACGGGACTGGAAGAGATTATGCTGAGTGAAATAAGTCAAGCAGAGAGAGTCAATTATCATATGGTTTCACTTATTTGTGGAGCATAACAAATAGCATGGAGGACAAGGGGAGATGGAGAGAAGGGAGTTGAGGGAAATTGGAAGGGGAGATGAATCATGAGAGACTACGGACTCTGAAAAACAATCTGAGCATTTTGAAGGGGTGGGGGGTGGGAGGTTGGGGGAACCAGGTGGTGGGTATTAGAGGGCACGTATTGCATGGAGCACTGGGTGTGGTGCAAAAACAATGAATACTGTTACGCTGAAAAGAAATAAAAAATAAAAACACCCCTAATTTAAAAAAAATGTAAAAAAAAAAAAAAAGAAAAGCAGAATTTTAAGAGGGGTGACAGGAGCAGGCAGGTCCCTGATTGTCACAGCACTGTTTGGTTTTCTAAGACTGCTCCTAAAACTACAACCTCTAACACTGTTGCTTGATATGGAAATGACTTAAATGTGGAATTGATGTTGCATAGGCTAAGATACTGGTCACAGACTGAAATTTTATTCAGTAAAGCTTCTGTGGTTTCCTGAAGGTCAATTTAGTTTTCTGTCTGATGACCCTCTGGATTTTGAAAAGCAAATTGTCATCCCTCAACAGTGATGTATCCACCCTCCAGAACACAAGGTAAGATCTAGAAGAGAGTGACAACCGCACAAACATGTGTGGTCCTAAGGACAAAGCCGTGTGCCTCAGCAGCCCCTGACACTTCTTTGCAGGGTCTGCTGAAGGGACCTAGAGTAGAGAGATGCAGTTGTCCTTTTATGGCAGCTGGCTCAGATTCAGTGGTGTGCTGCTGAAAACCTGGCCAAAATGTTCTATTCTTTTTTTTTTTCCAGAGAGAGAGCATGAGAGTGTGGGGGAGGGGAGGGCTGAGGGAGAGCGAGAGGGAATTTTTCAGCAGGCTGTATGCTCAATGTGGAGCCTGACATGGGGCTCGATCCCACAACCCTGAGATTATGACCTGAGCTGAAATCAAGGGATGGACTCTTAATGGACTGAGGCACCCAACACCCCTGTTCTATTTTTAACCCCAATTTTTAATTCCCTCAGCAACAGGAAGAATTGGCATTGGTTAATAAACATTCTTTGGACTTTTGCCAGCAAAATTCTTATGACAAATGTGCAGGGAACATTTATGTTCCAATGAAGCACTTAGAAAAACCTGTGACTGCTTTCACAACCCAGCCTAGACTTCCACACCCTACTCTTGGTTGGGGTTCCTTCTGATCCCTCTTCCATTCCTCTCTATGGAGAATTCAAATAGTCAATGCCAAATCTTCTGAGAGGCTTCAGCAGTCCTTTGCTCCAGCAACCTTTGTGGAAATTTTTGCTTTTTCTTCCATATTCTTCTTATTATCCTTTCCAAATGAAAATAGAAATCTTCCTTGGCTAATCGATTTATTTATTTATTTATTTATTTATTTATTTATTTATTTATAATTATGTTAATCACCATATAGTTCATCATTAGTTTTTTTGCCTTTTTTATTATTTTATTTTTCCAGTGTTCCCGATTCATTGTTTTTAAAAGAAATTATTTATTCTTTTTAAAAAATTTTTATTTATTCTTTTAATTTCTTTTCAGTGTTCCAGAATTCATTGTTTATACACCACACCCAGTGCTCCATTCAACATTAGTTTTTGATATTTCCACGATTCATTGTTTGTGTATAACATCAAGTTCTCCATGTAATCCATGCCCTCCTTAATACCCATCATTAGCCATCAGGGAAATTCAAATTAAAACCACTTTGAGATACCACCTTACACCAGTTAGAATGGCAAAAATTGACAAGTCTAATTGAATTTAAATTAAAAACAAGGATGGTTTATAAAAAAACTTCCAGAAAATAGAAATATTGTTTTTGATATTTTTTGTAATTTTAAATTTTTTATTATGTTCAGTTAGTGACTGTATAGTACACCATTTGTTTTTGATGTGTTCAGTGATTCACTAGTTGCCTATAACACCCAGTTGCCTCTGTTATTTTTTAGTGCCCAGGTCCCAGCACAGAGCCTGATGAAAAATAACTCCTCAATAGCGTTGAATGAATGAAATTCAGGATCTCCATGGAGCATTATAAAAGTTTTGAAACTTACATTATGAAGTATCTCTATCCTCCTCATTCCAAATCAAAACTCCACCCTGGTGCCTTGTGGGGTTTTTTCTCTAGTGGATCACAGATTGTAAAGATCAAAGCTGATCACCAGTTAGTCTGAGAACTGAGCACCAGCAGGGGAAGAAAGGAGAATCCATGGCTAAAGATGAGAGTGGTTGTCATTTTATTGCCCTGGGTGCATCTTGACTTCCTTTCTCATCCTACCCAGAATGCTGACATTTAAAACCACAGCTCAACTCATCATCTTGGGCTGCACATGGTGCCTGGGCATTCTGCAGGTGGGTCCAGCTGCCCATGTCATGGCTTACCTCTTCACCATCATCAACAGCCTGCAGGGCTTCTTCATCTTCTTGGTGTATTGCCTCCTCAGCCAGCAGGTACCATTGCCCATTCCCACCCAAGATTCCTCCCATCCTTACTCTCCTCAGGGAGCTGACCCAAGCATGCTTTGCCTCTGCAGGTCCGGGAACAATACAAGAAATGGTTCAAAGGGATCAGGAATAGAAGAGCTGAGTCTGAGAAATACACACTGTCCAGCAAGGCCATGTCTGATTCTTCCAGACGCAGCACGGTAAGGTCAAGCATTGCTCCTAGAGCACTTCACTAAGTGATCTGCTTGAGTATATGCTTGTCACACTGAACAACTTTAGTGTGTAGAAGATGATGCCCTAGGGTGGCTCACACTTGGTTTGCTTTTTACTCTTTATCTATTAATTTAATGTTAGTAATTTAGCTGTTAATTAATTATTAACTTTTGGACTGCTCTATGAAGACAGTGCTTTCACTTGATCTTTGGATCCCATCATTTGTGTCTTCTCAGTTATCTTTAATTATTAGCAATGGCCTTTTTTTAAAGGTTTGTTTAAGAATATATTTTGCGGGTGCCTGGGTGGCTCAGTGTGTTAAAGCCTCTGCCTTCGGCTCAGGTCATGATCCCAGGATCCTGGGATCAAGCCCCACTTTGGGCTCTCTGCTCTCCAGGGAGCCTTCTTCCTCCTCCTCTCTCTGCCTGCCTCTCTGCCTACTTGTGATCTCTATGTCAAATAAATAAATGAAATATTAAAAAAATATATTTTCCTGCTTAGGGAACTGTGTTCATCTTACCTCTTACACATCAACACTCTCACAAAACACCTGCTATTTGGCAGGCATGGCTACTAAGTAAATAAGAATCAGTGATCTGAAGTGGCGATGCACATTCAACTCAGGCCACAGTATCCTTTCCTTTTCTGGTACACCCATCTATCTCTCATAGTCACTGAGAGCAAGTCTCAGAAAGGCAATCATGGGGGCGGTTGATGTATGCATTTAGAAATTAAACAGAAGTGTTAGCCAGCATTTTGGACTTTGTTATAAGAATGCCTGATATTTCCAGCATCCTCCAGCCACTGGGAAACCAGGAAGAAAAAGCAGTACTGACATGGGAAAATTTGTGGGGATGGAACCACACTTACTGGCTCAGATTGAACCGAGTTCTCTACCTGTGGTTTCTCACCTCTTCCATTTTCTGTTAAAGACTCCCCTGAGTCTCTCTTCCCATCTAAAGGAGCCTACTCTGCTGCCAGAAAGTTCTCCTGCATGACTTTGTTCACCCAAACTCCATTAGCACTGGTTCTGCCACTGAATCTTCTGTGTTCTCCCCCTTTCTCAACAAATGTTCTCCTCACCTGTTTCACAGAGAAAATTGGAGTCTTTATGATGACACCTTGTGAACTGTATGCCATTGGCCATACCAACCAAATATCAGCATGCATCCTGTCCACATTTCTAGATAATTACTGTAGGTTTTTATGTTCCTCTAGGAAGAGTGCTTCCACCTGCTCTTTGGATCCCGTCCTTCATACCTTATCACGTATCTTTAAGTTATTGTTCACATATTTTCCTCCTGTCTCTCCCCTTCCCTGTGGCACCATCTCAATAGTATTCCTCTCATAGTCATGGAAACACGTTTAGTTTTCTTCTATCTTAAAAACATATACTACTTGCCTCCCCTTTAGCTACCAGCCAAGAATTGATTTTTCTGTCTCCATTTCCTTGCCTAAAACTTACTCCCTTTCCCCCTAACCCTTGCAAATATGGTTTCTTCCCCCATTATGCCACCCAAACAAACATCTCTTAGACCTACAGTGATCTCCATGTCCCTAAAAGTTTTCTCAGCAATGTCTGACATCCTTTCTCACAAAACACTTCATCCTTATGCCGTGTAGGTTCTACTCACACACCCTTCCATGTCATTCTTCCATTCTCTCTAACTTTCCCCTCTTTGTTTCCTTTATAGTTCCATTGAATGGATCAGCTCCAGAACAACTTCAGTCATCATTAAATTCTTTCCTCCTAGACAATAGCATCTGTTTTTTAGATTAGTTACCACTAAACACAAATGACAGCCATGTATATTTCTCTAGCTCTGATCTCTGAGATCTAGAGTATTTCCAGGTTCTTATTTCTTATGTCTTGAAGACACCTGAGCCTCCCAGTAGAAGACTTGCAATCTCTAACACAATTTAATTATTTCTCATGACGTCTTTCTCTCTCTTGATGGTACTCCATCATCCTGTGACACTAATCAGATCACAAAAGTTACTCTCAACAATGATTTTATTTCCTACCACAGCCTATCCATTATCCATTCCTTACCATTTTTATCTTCTCTATATGTCTTCAGTCTGTCCTGCTGGCTCAGCCTTCATCACCCCTCGTTAGAAGGCTGCCATCTTTATTTGGCTGAGCAACTGCTGTATCCTAAATGACCACCCCTTTCTACTCTTGTCAGCTTCTCATGCATACTTTACACACAATTCAGAGGGACCTTTTCAAAACACAAATAAAATAAAGTCACTCCTTTTTAAAAAAAATTATGTTCAGTTAGCCACTCTATAGTACATCATTAGTTTTTGATATAGTGTTCAATGATTCATTAGTTGTATATAACACCCAGTGCTCATCACAATACACGCCTTCCTTAATACCTGTCACCCTGCATGCTCAGAGTGGAGTCTGCTTGAGTTTCTCTCTCTTCTCCCTCTTCCCCCTTACTGCACTCTCTTTCTAAAACAAATAGTTTATCTTTGCTGCTATGAACATTAGGGTTCATGTGCCCCTTCTTTTCACTACATCTGTATTTTTGAGGCAAATACCTAGTATTGCAATTGCTAGCTTGTACGGTAGCTCTATTTGTAATGTCTTGAAGAACCTCCATACTGTTTCCCAGAGTTATATGCAACTAATGAATTGTTGAACACTATATCAAAAACTAATGATATACCATTTGCTGGCTGATTAAACATAATAAAAAATAAATAATTAAACCTTTTTAAAAAAGCATAAACATTTATCTTACAGATCTAGAAGTTCGGAGTTTTAAATGGGTCTTATGGGAGTAAAATCAAGGGGTCAGGAGAGTTGAGTTCTTTCTGGAGACTCTAGGAGAGTTTTTAATTTCTCACCTTTTCCAGCACCTAGAGTCTGCCTGCTTTCCTTAAATCATATCCCCTTGCTCACTGCAGTATCTTTAAATCTCTCTCGCTCTCATTCTCTCTCCCCTGCTTTTGTCAGTTGTATCTCCTTTCCTGACTTTGACTCTCTTGCCACCCTCTTTCCCTTAAAAAGACTTTAGTCATTGTACTGCCTCACTTCCCATCTAAGATACTTAACTTAATTTTATCTCGAAGTCCATTTTTTTTCCATGCATAGTGACATGTTCACAGGATCCAGAGATGAGAATGTGGGCATCTTTGGGAGAATCATTACTCTGTCTACTGTACATAGTTTTGGTTTGCCTGTTGTAGAACTACTAACATCTGCCTGGTATTATTGTGTTTGAGTAAATATCAACCCCTCTCTCCTGAGATGTTCTTCACAGTGGAGAAAGAGAATTTCTGTGAGAAAAATAGCATCAGATAGCCAAGGAAGGTGTCTAAAATGCAAGTCATCTGATCAGCTGTTTCTACTGTCGATGAGCAAATGACCAAGCAAATCCATTCCTTAGTGTAGTTGTATTTTCTCCTGTCTTGTAAAATTTGGTTCCTCTGGTGTTTAAAGATATAGGAGTATCTATTACTCATCCTGGCATGTCTTCTCTGGCTTCCTGAAGACTTGTTCAAGAAAAACGCAATAGTTCCTCTTACATTCAGTTCTGAGTAATTTCACATAGCATCATTTTTATAAACTTATTGTGTAGAGATAAGCATGTGAAGTTGTCTAACTCAAACACCAGAAATCACACTAAGCTTTCTATAGACCCAGGAACAAATAACTCATATTGAGAATGGAAAGGATAAGGGGGGAAAAAGGAGAATTAGTTTTTTTCCTTTACATTTTAGGTAATGACAACATGTAACATTTCCAATCTTGTGTTAATTTCCCACCTACCCTCTTTCATTTCTCTACACATAAAGCAGCATTTCACAAACCTTGAAGCAGAGGGATCAGGACATACATCTTGAAAGAGACAGATCATTTTTTTTCTTTAGCACATTTCATTGTTCTTATCTTCTGTAACTTGGGGGATAAGATTTGTAGGGAGACAGAACTTCTGGGGAAGACCAGGGTCTCACCAAATGTGATATAGTATGGCCTTTTGATCTTCCTCTGACATATTCACTTGGCAAGGTAATTTTTTGATTGAAGGGTTCATTAAATTTATTATTTATTTTTTCAGAGGAAACTTTAAAAAATTTATTTATTTAGAAGGAGAGAGTGAACATGAGTGGGAGGGGCAGAGGGAGAGGGAGAGAGAATCTCAAGCAGACTCTACAATTAGCATGAAACCCAACGTTGGGTTCATTTGTACAAACCTCTTTGTGACCTGAGCTGAAACCAAGGGTCAGACATGTAACTGACTGAACCACCCAGATGTCCCAAAGGAATCTTTAGAATTATCTTTGTGTAGTCTTTTATAACATTTCTAAATATTATTTTTTCTAGGTTAATTAAAAAATGTCTTGAGTTATATCCTCTTATCCCATGGAAAATTGCAACTGTTATTCTCTGAGCCACTGAGAGGATAAACAAGGCTTTGTTGTCTGTGTTTCAAGAAATTCACCATGTCAACAATGTGAAAGAAGTCAACAATGTTTGAGATCAAGATCTGCATAATCTGGAATTTTTCTGTGTCCTTCTTTGTGATCAGAAAACTTTCAACATATAAAGGGCCATATGTGGCCCAATTTCTTGGTCACTTTGGGTTACATGCTTTTCTGAAACCTCTCCTTCCTACAAAGACTTTTCCAGATACTGAACATCTAAGTGCTGGAATACTTATCTCAGCGTGTTTTCCTACCAAAAACATCCATAGGAATGGAAAATTTCATACCATAGTATGGATTTTGAAATTTCTTGTTTTGTGTTTAATTAATCACTCATTCAAAGATATTGATTTCTCGCTTGGTCTAAGGCAGAGACCAAAAGAGACTCAGGTTTTGCCTTCATGGAGATTTCAGGGGGGAAACAAAGTGATTTTTGCAGCTAGAGTTGACTCCCAGGTGGAAAGATTCATATAAATCAGAATTCTATTATTGGACAATTGAAGTATAATCCGTTTCACAGACACCATCTAGTTTCATCCTTACA